CATCTGGTTGGCTGTTCCAGAGGGTGTCACTCCCAGGTAACTGCCCGCCTTCCTGTCTGTCCTTCGACTGAAAGTTAAGGGGTGTGTGTGTGTGTGTGTATGTGTGGAAGAGAGAGAGTTAGTTCACTTTTAATCTTGAAGTGAGACAAAGTGCCCTGCACCCATTGTCCTTGGCAACAAGTCACGCTGAGAAAGTGGACAGAGGCAGAAAGCCGCTGGCCGCTGGGCAACTAGGGGGAGGGACTTGCTGCCTGCATCCCCACCTAGCTGTGGGGAGGGGACAGATGCCAGGGGGCAAGCAATGGTCAGTGCAAAGGCGATGCTTTGTCCTTGAGCCAAGGGAGAGGGCAGCACTGGCTGCCCGGCCGCTTGTCTCAGAGCCTGCCTTCCTCCCACTGCCCTGCTGCAAACTCTGGACGAGCAGTCCTGCGTGCCTGCTGGTTTCTCCCTCCCAGAGAAGGCTCTGGGGCCTGCCATCTGGCTCCCACACGGACCCAGACGGGGTTCCTGGAGCCTCAACGCCCAAGACCGGCAGGCCCACGATAAGGCTAGTGGGCTACACAGCAGCCCCATAAAGCCAGTCATGGAATGCTGGCCTGGGGTCACACTGCCTCATCTCCCCTAAACACAGTGACATGGACAGGGGGCTGACCCACGTCCCTCACCATCCAAAACAATGATTCTCCGAAACCTTCTGCAAGTTGAAACAGAATCAAGTGAAGATGCCGTCACGCCTCGTTTTATACGGGAACATTTTTTGAGCGTTATCAGACCCCCAAAACGGAAGGAGCCCTGGTGATGTAGGGGTTACTGGTTGGTTGGTTCAAAACCACCAGCCTCCCTGAAGGAGACAGAGGAGGCGTCCACTCCCGCAAAGAGTCACCTTCTCAGAAACCTAGGGGGCTGCTCTACCCCGTCCTATGGGGTCGCTATGAGTCAAACCGTAGGCATTAACACAGAGCCTAAAACCACACTAACATATAAGGTGGTCTTGCTGAGCTGGTGGGAGGCTCCCTGTGACCCTCCATTCCCTATTCCAGCAGCTTTCTGACGTTGCCTGCGTCAGGGCCCAGACACAGCGCGGAGCTGCGGCGGCCCATGCTCACGCCAGCCTCCCTTTGATCACGAAACTGGAAACCCTCTTTGGGTTTCTTACGGTGAGTGGAAGCGGGGACTACAGGGGTCTTCTTGTGCAAGTGAAGTGGCACCCTGCTCCCGGAGGGAATACGAAAACCCCAGATACAGACACCCCCCCCCAAAGGGAACAGGCATTGGAGAATGCCCAGTTCTCCCCAGGTGGGGAGGGG